AATTGCCGTTTACGGAAACTTTCCAGCGTCTAGCTACGTTTGACTTGCATTCTAAAATTGTTTTATTGTCTACCAAGGTTACAATATGTAAATTAAAAACACTACCTCAGTAATTACTACATTTTAATGCAGTCAACACTGCAATTCTTGGGTTAGGGGATCTCAATATATTTGTGCCCATACAGACCTGATCATACAGTCCAAAATAAATAAAACGAGGTAGTCGTCACTTGTGCATCAGATGGCCATAGCATGTCATTTTTTAGCAACAAGTGTCTACGCATGAGCCTTTTCATTTTTAACATATGTTGTTATCGTTGGTTGGGACTCAATTCCCACACATGCGCAGGTGACAACCCTCTCGTTTTAAGATTCAATTTTTTTTTTTTAAACTACACTATTAAACAGATCATTGCTGTATTTGTTACATGTACGTCCACAAACAAAACAAAACAATATTAACCAGTACGTAATTTACCCCCGGTAAGTAATTTTTGTGGTGTGGTATATATTGATTATTTCTCATTCATTTTACAATGCATTATTAATATGAAATTGGAAGTGATCATGATTTAATCTGGTTACTGGATTCATGCCGAGCAATAAACAATGAAAAAAAAACCTGTTCTCGAGAAATAAAATTTAAAGAAGGACAGCCCTAATGGAACAGATGATATATCTGCTATGAGATCATAATTAATGTTCATTTCAAAAAGAAACCTCAGTACAAGAAACAGTGCTCACTGATACTGGCCAAAACGGTTACAGACACACCCCCTAAACTAAACGAAGCTTTAACAAGAATGTGATGCTTGAAATCAGGGCATGATTAAACATGGATAAAACTGGTAGTTGGTAAATACAATAATGACATAAGTTTGCTAGTTAAAATACAATGTACAAGCAGTGTTAAAGATGACAATGTTAAAAAAACACTGCGTAAGCTCTAAGCGATGTTAAACAAAATAAGGTAATTGATAATTGCTAAGGTCAATTAATTTGTAATAATAAACATTAACGAGCTGTAAAATAAAGATAAAAACAAAAAAAACATGAATTTTGCAACAAAAATGTACATTAAAGCAAGTATTAAAGAATGAGTGTTAGACTTACATGCTGAAGACAAGCATGCAGAAAAAAGGGGCTCCGCCAGTTGTTGTACTTGTCAGTCAATAATACAGGTATACTGTAGTAGTTCAAACACCTGCAAAAAACAGTGACCTTTGAACCTGATTAAAGGGTCTATTAAAGAGAGACTTAC